TGACGTTCTCAGCAAAATTCAAGGCTTACGTCATGGGTTCTGGAGGTTCTCTCTCCATGGCTACCCACCCCATCTGGGCCCTGACCATTCCTCCATCTAGAAAGGACAGTGAGCAAGACTGTCCAGTTTGGCACCCACTCTTCTTCACCCTGTCTGTAGGGGGAAGATCTGACATTTCAGGGAAGAGGGGCAAGACTTCATGCCTGTTCCAGGGATTTGCTGGTCCCAGGAGTCAATTCAGCTGTGGAAGGGTTGGAGATGATGCTTTTGGATCCTAGGAGAGGCAGGAACTGGCCCAGTCACCCCCACTGCCCTCAAGGCTGCCTTGTACCTGACATCGCTGCAGGAACATGGCTGGAGGCTGGGGTTTGGCTGCAAGGCGGTATTCTCCAGCACTTTGACTCTTGAACTGGCTTCTGTAGTGCCCATAGAAGCCACTGTTGTGCTATAGTAAAAAAGGCATGAGGGTAACCCCACTCAAACTGCCACCCGGGGTCCTAGACCTCAGGACCCCATCTGAAGCTTCTAGGGAAGCTATGCCAGAAGCTCCTTATGGGAATTCCTGACAGAACAGAAAGAATCTGAGGAATTGGGACACTCCTGGAGAGGGGCCAGCAGAGAAGCATCTCCATGCATCATTAGGACAATTGGCCTCAGCTGCATTGACCCATTTGGGTGGGCTATGCATGTGTGGGGAAGGGGTACCATTCACTCAGAGCAGAGTTTTGTGGGCAGGGCCACTATCCAGTGGTGTAGCCCTTCCTTAAGAAATCTGAGAAGTCTCCTTTGTTATCCTCCTTGATCAAGGGTCCCTGATGAGAGAAGGTCCAATGCATCTTCCTTCTGCCTCTATTGACAAAGTTGTGAATACTCATTTGCCACACACTCTGCTATTCTAGAGTAAAAGGGGCACCCCTTGAAACTGGAGCACCTAAGCAAGGTATAAACTTTCCAAAAAGAAAATTTCACCAATGGAGGATACCTTCTGGAGACAATTTCAGAGAAAGGCACTGGCAGAAGACAGAAATGAACACCTATCAGGGGTCCAGGAAGGGGCTATACTGTACCAATGTCATTAGGTGGACACCTGTCTGGGAACTCCTATGGCCCAACCTCCTTGTCCTGTGTTCTCTGTACAGAGGATGGGTGTGTCTTGTCTGGTCCTCCACAGTCATAACTCTGAGCAGAGGAACCTGCCCTGAGCCTGGCCTCTGACAATCACAGTGGGCTCCTCAGCAGGTCTAGGAAGCCCCTATCTTTTCATCCCACTGAAGACTTGAGTCATTTTACTTGTCTGTCCATTCCTCTACTATCTGTCAAGAACCCCTTGCCCTCTAACCAGGTTAGTTCAACGGTATTTACTGCACCTTTACTGTATTCCAGGCATGGAGCTGGGCATGGGAAATACAGATGGACAAAAACACAGTCTTTTCCCTCAAAATGTTCCCAGACTAGAGAGCAGTCAAATTCCAAAAGTTTGGCGGAGGGCATGGAGGGGGGAATCAAACAATAAACTGGGAATAAAATGGGGTGGCCAGAGGACTAGGAGTTTCATATGGCTTGCAGGAGACCAGGATGGATGTAAGGGGGCATAGTGTCAGGAAGACTAGGCAGCCTCCAGGGGTGACTTCAGGATGGTGGAGGGGAAGTGGGCAGCTCAGGGTCCTCCACTAGGCTAGGCTGGATGCTGGATACAACCTTTCTCACTTCACTCAGATTTCAGGTACAACCTGAGGGTGAGGGGCCAGGATTAACTATAAAGCACATTCGGCAGGGCTCGGTGGCTCACGCCTGTAATCCTAGCTCTCTGGGAGGCCAAGGCGGGTGGATTGTTTGAGCTCAGGAGTTCGAAACCAGCCTGAGCAAGAGCGAGACCCCCGTCTCTACTAAAAATAGAAAGAAATTAATTGAACAACTAAAAAAATATAGAAAAATTAGCCGGGCATGGTGGCACATGCCTGTAGTCCCAGCTACTCGGGAGACTGAGGCAGTAGGATCGCTTGAGCTCAGGAGTCTGAGGTTGCTGTGAGCTAGGTTGACACCACGGCACTCACTCTAGCCCGGGCAAAAGAGTGAGAGACTCTGTCTCTAAAAAAAAAAAAAAAAAAAAAGCACATTCTTACCCAGGAGCCTACTAAAGCACTTTGCATCTTTCCAGGAAGGGAGGGAAGAGGCAAACTTTCCTCTTGTCCTTTTGAGGTTATGTCTGAGGAAAGAGAATCTCTGGAGGTCAACTTCCTGTTGCTTAGTGACAAGGGGAGGTTATGACTGCACAATGCTGCTGTTTGTTGAGGCAGCACCTGGCCTGTTGCCCTTTTGTCCTTGCTGCTCTATTTCTTCTCAATGAGAGAAATCTGCCCCCTGGCTTTAACCATCTGGGAGAGCCTTTATATATAGAAACATAAACGGTGGAGTCTGATGGACTCACAGCCAATGAAATATTAAAGAACATTTCAGAGGCAAATCCTGCATTTAGAAAACTATGCATCCATACTGCCAGGGATATATATAAATTTAGAAAGCATTCCATGGAGTCAGAAGAAATGTTAAAGGGGTTGGTATCTCTCAGGATAAAATTGCTGCTTCAGAAGAAGGCTCTGTCAACTTATTTCTTTCTTAAGAGTTTGTGGTGACTAGATCATGACAGGTGAATGTTACGAGGGCTGAGTGAAGGAGGCGAGCATAACAGAAGAGCACAAGAAGGAGAATGCAAAGATTTGACATCATGGTTCCATTCTGAGCTACCCTTGGGCGAATTATTGACTGATTCTCTTTTATTTCTAACAAAGAAACAGGAATAGTTCATCTCTTAACTAACCAAAAGAAGCTGGCAATCAGCTTCTAAAAAGTTCAACAGTAGGAAACACCCAGACCCTGCTAGTATCAATGGCACCAGCCCTAATAATCAGAAAGTCTACCCTAGTGTAATCCTCTCACAGGGACTCACAGGTATTAAAATGTTCATTGTAGCATCTGCGTAGAGAAAAAACTGTAAGCAGTGCAAGTATTTATTTACCAACAAGACAATGAGGAAACTGGGCTATAGTCACACAATGAAATACTGGAGTTACTATGGTTACTATGTAGGGGTTACAGATATTTGAATCCATAGAGAGAAATCTTAAACATATTGAGTCAAAAAGTCAAATTATAGAAAGATGTGCAAAATATGCCATTTATAAAATGATACAAACATGCAAAATTAGAGCTGGGCAAGGTGGCTCAAGCCTGTTAATCACAGAGGCTCAGGAGGCTGAGGTGGGAGAATCCCTGGAGTCCAGGAGTTTGAGGCTGTAGTGAGCTATGATCTTGCCACTGCACTCCAGCCTGGGTGACAGAGCCAGACCCCATCTCTGAAAAACAAAAAGAAGGAAAATAATGCTATATATTCTTTATGGATACACACATATGAACTATGAGTAAACAGCACTAGCATGCATAGAAATGATAAGCAACAAACTCAGGATAAAAGTCACCTGGGTAGGGGAGCAAGGGGAATGGTTTCAGGAAGGGCAGAATGGAAACCTTCCTTATAACCTATCTGTATTTATTTTTAAATTCACAACTCTATCTGTATTTATTTTTAAAGCTTTGTTTAGGTAATTAATACACAATAAACTGCACATATTGAAAGTGTGCAACTTGATACGTTTTGATATATGTATATACCTATGAAACATCACCTTCGAGACAGTAAACATGGAACATGGAAACATGGAACACGGAACCCTCAGGTTTCCTTCTGCTCATTTGTAGTCTTTCCCTATGGCACTCACTTGCTTCAGGCAACCACTGTTCTGCTTTCTGTCATTATAGATTTGCATTTCCTAGTATTTTATGTAAATAGAATCATACAGTATGTATTGTTTTGTGTCTGGCTTTCATTCAGTTATGCTTAACTATTTTGAGATTTATCCGTTTTGTTGTGGGTATCAATTGGTCAATTCTTTTTATTGCTTAGTAGTTTTCCATTGTATGCGTATACCAAATCGCTCCTTCTGGTTTTCTGAATCCATACACCAATCAGGTTTTTGTCCCCATTACGCTGTTACTGTTCCTGAAAAATTAATTCTCACTTATCTTCCTCAACATACCAGCAGCATTTGTCACAGCTGATCTCCTCCTCATTGAAGCAGTTCCAGGTGGCTTCCAGAGAACTTCACTCTCCTGGTGTCCCTCCCCCGTCCCTGAACACTTGCTCCAACTCTTTGGCTGCTTTTCCCTCATCTCCAAGGACTCTAAACTAGTTGTGTGTCCTGGGGCTCAATCCAATCTCTTTTCCATCTATACTCCTTCATTGGTGATCTCATCCTGTTTCATTGCTTTCTAAGTTATCAACCACCAGAGGCAGAGTTAAATAGATCCCGCCTGCCCTACACTCGCTGTCCCCACCCTTAGGTCACTCCAGCATCCAGCAGGCCAAGAGCCTCAGACGATTTCTTTCCTCCTTTCTGTCTCCTCCAGGGCCCCAGTTCTGTGTCCCCATCTGCTCACAGCGCCTCTCGCCCAGCTGCTCCCCTTTGCCCTGCCCTTGCTCTGAGCCATGCCCTGGCGCTTGGCCACCAGGTCCAGCCCACATGCTGCTCTCACAGGCAGCACCTCGCCATCCCTGGGGTTCCGGGCCTCGCTGTTCTTGGCACATGCAGTGGAGTGTAGGTCAGGCGACAAGCGAGCGTGTCGGGGCTTTCAAGGGGATGCCGGGTGGGCTGCAGGTGGGCCGCTGGGTGTGAGTGTGGGGATGTGAGGTTACGTCCTATGCGAGGCAACGTGGGCTGGGTGTGGTGTGTGGCTGTGTGTGGCGCGATGTAGGCCGCCTGCCCAGCCCGCAATTAGCGCGGTTAAGACCGTTAGGACCGTTAAGACTGTGAGGAGCGTTAAAACCGTTAGGACCGTTAAGACCGTTTGCCGCGTGTCGCGATGGGGGCGGGGCCCTGGGGACGGGAAGGAATCCCATTGGTCAGAGGGGGACCTGGGGGCGGGGCTGCACATGCTTGGCAGCCGCGGCGGGACCCCGCCTTCTCGAAGCCAGGTCTGGGCAGCTCCAAGCGCGGCGTGCCCCAACAGCCAGAGGTGGGGACAGGAGCGCCTTGGGCAGGGTGGGCTAGGCTGGGCAGGAGATGGGGGGAGGTGGGGGGAAGGGTTGAGGAGCCTAACGGGGATTTGGAGATAGGTTTGGGATTCCTGGGGGCCTTGCAGGGTTTCCCGAGAGTTTGGCTTCTGCACTTGAATCTGGCTTTGGAGTCCCTCGCCGCCCTTTCTTTCCCTGTGGTGGTAGGCTGCTGTGACTCTTGAAGGAGGCTTGACTTCTGCGCTTGTCCTTGAGGAGTTTCTGTCAGATTTCAAAGGTCTGTGACCTCCCATCCCGGGTTCCCGCCTGGGCTACTCAGGGAAGAGAGTTGGCCTGGGAAGTCTGAGTGAGACTCAAGAGAGGCCCAGTGGAATTTGTCTTTGATTATTATTATGGAAAATCCTATGGAGGCCTCTGGAAAAGACTTTTGAATGATAGGAGCTCAGAGACTGTCTCCAGGTTGAAAAGAAACTGAAGTTGAGAGAGGATGACTGTTCGTGCTTGAGGAGGGCCTGGCCAGGCCAGAGGGGGCCTGAAGTCTGAGGAAGAGACTTGCTTTTTTTCTGCTCTTTATGCAGTGGAGGAAAGGGAGTGGCACTTGGAGGGCCCACACACTGGGGCTTCAAGATTTTCAGGGTTGGCCAGCCGCAGTGGCTCACGCCTGTAATCCTAGCACTTTGGGAAGCCAAGGTGGGAGGATCGCTTGAGGTCAAGAGTTCGAGACCAGCTTGGACAACATACTGAGACCTCATCTCTACAGAAAAAGAAAAATTAGCCAGGCGTGGTGGCACGTGCGTCCCAGCTACTCGGGAGGCTGAAGCAGGAGGATCACTTGAGCCCAGGAGTTTGAGGTTGCAGTGAGTTGTGATCATGCCACTGCCCTCCAACCAGGGCGACAAAATGAGACCCTGTCTCTCAAAAAACAAAAAAGATTTTCAGGGTTGAAGATAGGTTCAGATGGGGGGAGTCTATGCCCCTCGGAGCCTCCCATGCTTACCTACCCTGCTAGGGCCTTTCCTGTGTGAATGGTTCCATTCCTGCCATGCACTCAATTTTTCCTCCCCTTTTATGCTTCTTTTAATAAGGTTGGGGGTGGTGAGAGATGAGGAGGGGATCCTGACCTCGAAAGTTTTTAATGTGTGCATTTAAGTTTTCATTTATCTTGGAATGACTAGTGTTCTACTTTAGAATGCCTACCTCTTCATTAGTAGTGTTGTAGTAGCATCTTCAAGGAGAGCTTTAGACGGATGGGATTTCTACCCTCTGGGAATTTAAAAGCCTACACAGGTAGCATGGAGACAGGTAAATGCAGAGAAGAGAGATAAACCTGAGGTTGGGTGCATCAAGCCCCAGGTGTTCTTTAGACATATTGAGAATAAGGGTGTACTTACCACAAGTTTTAAACATTGGGAAAAAGAATTAAGGGTGTAACCATGGGTTTTTCTTTAACTGCATTAAAAGTCCTCTTAAGAATTAATTAGGTTCTGGGCCGGGCGCGGTGGCTCATGCCTGTAATCCTAGCTCTCTGGGAGGCCGAGGCGGGCGGATCCTTTGAGCTCAGGAGTTTGAGACCAGCCTGAGCAAGAGCGAGACCCCGTCTCTACCAAAAATAGAAGGAAATTACTTGGACAACTAAAAATGTATAGAAAAAATTAGCCGGGCATGGTGGCTCATGCCTGTAGTCCCAGCTACTGAGGAGGCTGAGGCAGAAGGATCGCTTGAGCCCAGGAGTTTGAGGTTGCTGTGAGCTGTGATGATGCCACTGCGCTCCAGCCCAGGCAACAGAGCCACCCTGCCTCGGGGGAAAAAAAAGAACTTTCTCACATCTATTTGTTGGTCTTCTTGAGGTACAGTTTGTTCTAGAAAGGTAAGATAAATGACTGATTCTTTCTCCACCAGTTTTCAGAATAATGAGTTGGTTGCCTATCTTCCAAAGTGATTAATGAAAGTTTAAAAAAATATAATTATGAATTCAACAGAGGAAGCCCCTATAAGTTATCTCTCCAGTAGTCCTTGGCCCTAGTAGTCTTTGATAACTTCCTTGTTCTCTGGTATGACAGGATGTTCTGACCAGGCATGGTGGCTTGTGCCTGTTATCCCAGCTACTCGGGAGGCTGAGCTTGGAGGATCATTTGAGCCCAAGAGTTAGAGACCAGCTTGCATGACATAGTGAGACCCCCATCTCAAAAAAAAAAAAAAAAAAAAGAAAAGAAAAGTCTCAGGGTCATTTTACACGTTTCTTGCCCCAGACCTGGTTCCTTTTAGTGGGGAATGGCATTTCAAGACAAAAGCTAGGTATTATGGGAGATCATTGCTACTGGGTAGGTCATTGTTTCCCGGCATTTTCAGTGGACAGAGTTATGAAATACATTTTTAAAGAGAAAGATACATTGAGTTAATAATGATATTCATTTTATATCAAACCTAGGACTACAGGGTTTTTGCTTAACTTCTTTCATTATATTTGTACCTCTTATCACACATTGAAATTTTTTGTTCCCACCCACATTAATATAATTATTTATTTGCTTTATTCTTGATATATGTAGGTATATAATACATATACTTACTGTTTTTTACTAACAATGTGATTACTAAAACAAATGAACAGATTCCTTTGCTGATCTTTTTGTCCTTAGGATACGCTTAACTAGGAATATGGCATCAAGTTACCATATTTAGAGGCACAGGAAATAAACTCTCTCTGTGGGGCTCAATCACCAACTCATTTCATTTTGCATCTTTGCAGGGATTGCTTTGTTTTTTCCAATTTCTATTTAATTTTATTTTGTGATTATGTGATTACATGTAAACAATATTTACATGATTCTAAAGTTAAAACCTACTACATTTGGAGAAGTCTAGCTTCCATCCCTAGCCTCTTCACCTTATTCCCACTCTTCCCCTAAAGGTAACCATTTTTTTATTGGTTTTCAGTTTATCTGTCTCCTCTCTCTCCCCTCTCTCTCTTCCTCTCCCCCTCTCCTTTCTCTTCCTTCCATCCCTTCCTTTCTTTTTAATATAAGCACATTTATGTGTGTGTATTTATTTATATTCATATTCCCTTGGCTTTTCTTGGTTAAAATGTTGCATACTCTATATACACTGTTCTTCACCTTGCTTTTTTTACTTAGCAATACATCCTGGAGATCATTCCCATAGTATATAGAGGAGATCTTTCTTACTCCTGGACTCAAGGGATGCTCCTGCCTCAGCCTCCTGAGTAGCTGGGACAACAGGCATGCACCACCATGCCTGGCTAAGTTTTTAATTATTTTTTTAGAGATGGGGTCTTGCTATATTGCCCAGGCTGGTCTTAAACTCGTGGCCTTAGTGATCCTTCTGCCTTGGTCTCCCAAATTGTTGGAATTACAGGCATCAGGCACTGTGCTGGGCCTCTTTCTTATTTCTTTTAACAGCTCAATAGAACTCTATTGTGTAGATGTTTCGGTTTATTCAACTAGTCCCCAACTAATGGAATTGGGTTGTTTCTGTTCTTGTTATTATAGATGATTTGTATTGAAGAGCAAGGTATGTATATAATTTTGTATTTTTGCCAATGTATTTTGGGATAGATCCCTAGAAGTAGGATTGCTGAATTAAAGGGTAAATACATATATAAATTTTCTAGATACTGCAGAACTCTCCTCCATAGGGAAATACCATTTGGCTTTCCCACCAGAATTGTATGAGTCTCTTTCCTCACAGATTCTAGTAATAGAGTATGTCATCATACTTCTATTTTTACAAAATATAGGTAAGAAAATAGTCTCAGTGTAATTATAATTTGCATCTCTTTTAATGTAAGTGAGGGTTATCTATATTTTCTTTTTAAATTTTTTTAGAGACAGGGTCTCGCTCTGTCACTCAGGCTGGAGTACAGTGGGACAGTCATATTAATAGCTCACTGCAATCTTGAACTCTTGGGCTCAAGCAATCCTCACTCCTCAGCCTCTCAAGTAGCCAGGACTACAGGTGTGCCACCACCAAGCCAAGCTAATTTATTTTTTTATTTTTTATAGAGACAGAGTCTTGCTATGTTGCCCAGACTGGTCTTGAACTCCTGGCTTCAAGCTATTCTCCCACCTTGGCCTTCCAAAGTCCTGGGATTACAGGCGTGAGCCACTGTGCCCAACCACATTTTATTATATATATAAGGGCCTTTGCATTTCTTTTTCTGTCAACCATTGGCTTATACATCTTGACCATTTTCTATAAGGCTTTTAGGTGATACAAAAGTTTTCTGTTTTTTTTTTTTTTTTTTTGAGGCAGGGTCTCACTCTGTGGCCTCAGCTAGAGTACAGTGGCATCATCATAGCTCACTGCAACCTCAGATTCCTCAAACTCTTGAGCTCAAGTGATCCTCCTGCCACAGCCTCATAACTAGCTGGGACTACAGGTGTGTGCCACCACTCCTGGCTACTTTTTCTGTTTTTTGTAGAGAGAGGGTCTTGCTCTTGCTTAGGCTGGTCTCAAACTCCTGACCTCAAGCAATCTTCTCATCTTGGCCTCCCAAAGTGCTAGGATTACAGGTGTGAGCCACTATGCCCAGCCGAAAGTTTTCTTTTTAAAAATTCTATGTAGGCAAATTTGTCAGTGTTTTTCCTTATTATTTTTGGCTTTTGAGTCAAAGTTTTTCCCCATTTTGAGGTTATAGAAGAATTTATCAATTTTTCCCTGGTACTTTTTTTTTTTTTGAGACAGAGTCTCACTCCATTTCCCAGGCTAGAGTGCCGTGGTGTCAGCCTAGCTCACAGCAACCTCAAACTCTCCAGCTCAAGCAATCTTCCCTCCTCTGCCTCCCGAGTAGCTGGGACTACAGGCATGCACCACCACACCTGGCTAATTTCTTTCTATTTTTAGTAGAGACGGGGTCTCCCTCTTGCTGAGGTTGGTTTCGAACTCCTTACCTCCAGTGATCCTCCGGCCTCAGCCTCCCAGAGTGCTAGCATTATAGGTGTGAGCCATCATTCCTGGCCTTCCCCAGTACCTTCTTGGTTTC